TTTTCTTGGCGCTCTTTTCATTCCCTTTCTATTTAAGAACAGATAGTACAAGAGGAAAAACAGTTGGCCTATCAAATCCATTCTCTCCCCAGTCCCCATGATACCTACCTAAATGGTCTTCACTGAAACCCCTGGGGACAAGGTCTACATAGACACTGATACTGCTCAGCCTCTCACCAGCTAAACTCACTGAGTCATTGGAGATGCTCCTTTTCGATTAACATTCCACAGATTATTTTAACGACATTTATTCCTCTTTATTTCCGATGACATTGCATGACTGAAGAAATCAACTAGTTTCAATTTGGTATTTGGTATTTTTAAACATGACAAGTAATTTATCCAATGTGAATGTACCTTTGTTCCTCTCTTTATATATCTGAACAAGTCTTGTAACAGGTTACACTGCCTGCGATTGATGGTTGCCATGAATCACAGTTAGAAAAGAAAGAAAAATCAACCTAACCGTTTCAGTGCAGAAAATTGCTTTCTTTTGAACATGCAAAGTGGGGGGAAAGGTCTTCAGAGCCTGGATAGGACTGCAGACTCGAAGCACATTTTTAAATGTCACTGGCTATCTTCTATTGGTAACAGATGCTGTTCAGTTGACAGTGAATGTAACGTAGACAGTGATATTTATACTGTTTCATGATTACAGCTCCAACAGACCAGAGACATCTCTTTCTGTCCTTTGTCTTTATTTTGGCAGTAAGAAGTAGTACAAGAATGTTTACTGGTAGAAGATGTAACACAAATATTGCTGTATAGGAAATTGAGCATTTGATTCCAGTTGGCTTTGATAAAAGCCCTGTTCTGTTTCCATGTGCAGAGAGGAGTCCCTGGGGAGTTCTTTAGCCCATTGCTGAAAGATTATACAGTAAAACTCACATAAGCCTTATCGGTTGGGACCATACATGTAATATGACTTATGCAATGTATGAGTTATGTCAAACTTGCATAAAATATAAACTCTTGAATGGGGCTTAGGCCGATGTACGAATTAGGTAATTATATAATTTGAACAGATCAGACATTTTTTNCTGCGAGTTTTACTGTAAATGGGTACTACATAAAATGTCGGAGAGTTAATGGCACTTACATGTAGTTGTTGAAAGTGTGAAAGTCTATAGGCCTTCTATAGGCATCTTCCTAAAATATTTCAGAGAACTTTAGTGGCTTTTCAAAGGCCACAAAGTGTACCACTGGGAAGGAAGCTGCACAATTGTGATGCTGGTTTAGAACAACATGTATCTCAATAATGAGAGTCAGAATAATAAAACTAAAGATGTTGGTGAAAATACAAAAATACAGGTCTTTGAAATTACAATACTTTTACAGTGCATTATCTAAGGTTGTTCTGAATTTATAGAATTTTTTTTTCTTTTGTCCCCAAGGCTTGTCCCTAAGCCTTGCCACTTGCTAACCTGTGCCTAATACTTTCCAGAATTAGGTAAACAGGATATGTCCCTCCAGGGAGAAAGTGTGCGTTCCATTCCAACAATCTGTCTCTGGATTTCCATGTGTAGGTGGGATGCATGGAAATCTCAGCTTGGTTTGGATACTCTTAAGAATGGTGATGCGTTTCCACAAGTGTCAGACACCCGGCAGTCAAAAGATATATATGTATATTTATATATAAAGTCTAAAAGCCCTGGATAGATTTTGAATCTGTGCTGAGCCACCCTCTCTCAGCACAAGCTGCTGCTCAAGCGTTCTAATTGACTTTGTGTCTCTGGCTAGAGAGGGGACAATCATTCAGCTTCCCAGTCCTTGCCAGAGAGTTTAGGTCAGGTTTGGCAGCAATGCTCCTTGTGATCAAACAGCCTGGTTCTATTCACTTTTCAGGCATACCCATGAAGAAAGATAAGGTGTGCTGCTAGCACCATTCTGCAATGTGAATCACTTCCTTCTGAGAAGAAATTGAAGCCAGGATGTATTTTTAATGTACAGGGTGATCAAAAAGTCATGATACCATTTTACAATGTCTAATAAGTCTTAAAGAAATTATGATTTTTTTTAGATAATAAGGTAGGTATCAAGACTTTTTAGTCACTCTGTATATACCCCTTTTTAGGGTTACAATTTTCAAATTGTTTTTAAGAACTTACAACAACAACAACAAGATTCCATTTATAAAGCGCCTTTCACGTCAGGAGGACGTCCCAAGGCGCTGAGAAACTTAAGAATTTCTGGATGAAAGAAGACCAAGATCCATTCAGTTTGCCTTCCACCATCCTGGCAGTCGCATTCACATGTAATGTCTCAAACCATATACTGCAAAGACTGTCATCACACTGCAGATTTGGTGCCAGAGCTCATTTTAAGATAATGCTGTTGAAAAGATTGTGTTGGGTGTATGTTACCATGCGGCAAGGGAGGGGGCGAGGTGGAGGGACTGCAGGATGGAGTTCCACAGGGTGGAGGCAGAGTGGCAGAAGGCCTGCCTACCAATGAGGAATCGGACGAGGCAGGGGACGTGAAGCAGGTCAGAGCCCGCTGAGCAGAGGGAGCGGACAGGACAGAAGGGAGTTAGGAGGTCACAGAGGTAGGGGATAGCAAGGCTATGAAGGGCTTTGAAGGTGAGGGCCAGGATCTTGAACTGTATCCTCTGAGTGGAGTTGGGTGAGGATGGGGGTGATAGGGTCACAGAGCCTGCTGCGGGAGAGGACACAGGCTGCAGAGTTCTGGATGATCTGCAGCCTATGGAGGGAGGAGTTGGGGAGCTGGACAAGCAAGGAGTTTGCATAGTCAAGCCTCAATGTTATGAATGCATATATTCATACATGCTCTGTCCAGCGCCTTGGGATGTCCTCCCGACGTGAAAGGCGCTATACAAATGTAATTTTGTTGTTGTTGTACGAGGTTTTCATCAGCCTGCTGTGTGAGACAGTAGCCAGGCGATGATCGGAGGTGGGGGAAGGCAGAGCGGGTCATGGCACGGATGTGGGGTAGAAAGGATAGTTGAGGGTCAAACAAGATGCCAAGGTTCCAGACTGGCTTAATAAGGTGGAGTGTGCAACCATGGATGGTGATGAGGTGTGGAGGCGCTGACAGAGCCAATCAGGAGGACCTTGGTCTTGTCGACGTTCAACTGAAGAAAGTTAGCTCTAATCCAGGACTTGATGTTTGACAAATATTCTGTCAGGACAGCGGTGGTCCTGGAGTCAAGGGTGGAGGCAGAGAGGGAGAGTTGGGTGTCATCTGCATACATGTGGAAGTTGTTGAATAGGAGGGGACCAAGAACAGAACCCTGAGGAACGCTGTACGACATGGTGGGGGGCTAGAGGAGAAGCCATTTGTGGAGATGAAGTGGAGGTAGTGTGAGAGGTACGATCTGAACCATTCAAGGACAGAAGCATGAAGGTTGAGGTGAGAGGAGAGGCGGTAGATGAGGATAGAGTGGTCAATGGTGTCGAAGGAAGCAGAGAGGTCAAGGAGGACAAGGAGACAGAGGGAGCGCTGGTCACAGATGGACAGAATGTCATTTGTCACTTTGACCAGGGTTGGTTCTGTGCTGTGGGCGGCACGGAAACCCAATTGGAGGGGTTCGTGAATGGAGTGGCGGGAGAGGGAGGGGCAAAGCTGGAGGCAACAACTCATTCCAGGATCTTGGAGAGGAAATGGAGATGGGTCGGTAGTTTGAGAGCAGGAATGGCTCCAGGGAGGGGTTTTTAAGGATAGGAGTGATAATGGCTGTTTATAAAGGTTTGGGAATGGTGCCAGTGGACAGAGAGAGGTTTATGATGTCTGTGAGTAGAGGGTCAAGGAAGTGGAACTGGGAGGTAAGAAGAGGGGTAGGGATGGGGTCGAGGGAGCAGGTGGTCGGCTTCATGTGGGTTATAGTGGTGATGAGAGAGGAGGGGGAGACAGGTTCAAAGGTGTGGAGGGAAGGATATGTAGGGGCTGGGGTGAGAGGGGGAGATGTGGAAGGGGTAGTAGATGGAAGGGCAGAGACAGCTGAGCGGATACCCTCGACTTTGGATTCAAGGAAGTCTAGCATTGCCTCACAGTTGGCATTAGAGGTGAGGATGGGGAGGCGTGAGAGGGTGGGTGGAGGAACCGGTTGATGATGGAAAAGAGGAGCCTGGGGTTGTCCTTGGCATATAAGAATGTCTTGGAGTAGAAGGACAATTTGGCAGAGGTGAAGGCGGAGCGGTAACATTTGATAAGGTCCAGCCAGATCTGCCGATGGACCGTTAGGTTTGATTTAAGTCAGGTGCGTTCAGTGGTACACACCTGTTTTTTAAGGGCGTGGAGGTGGCTGGTGTACCATGGTGACTTTTGTGTATAGGAGAGGGTTTGGGAAGTGAGGAGAGCAAGGGAATCGAGAGTGGTGGAGAGGGATCTGTGGAGAATAGTGACTGAGGAAGACAGGTCATTGTGGGAGGAAGCCCAGAAGGAAAGGAGTTCGGCTGACACCAAGGCAGCCAAGATGGAGGGGTGGGGGGGAGATTTTTTTTTCAGGGGCAGTAGGAGATGGAAGTGGTTAGGTGGCAGTAGGGAGAGGGATTGAGAAGTTGAGGGAGATGAAGCGATGGTCCGAGATCGCTTCGTCGATGACGGTGAGGTCCGAGACAGTGAGGACCCGAGTAATCACCAGATCGAGGGGGTGACTGCGGACGTGGGTGGTGGATGTAGAGGGAGAGGTTGAGGAAGGAGATGAGGGAGGAGAAATCAGCAGAAGTAGAGCAGGAGGGGGTGAAGTGAAGATTGAAGTTGCCTAGGATGAGGAGGCGTTCGGAGCAGAAGGAGAGGGAAGATAGGAGGGTGGAAATGTTGGAGATGAAGGTGGGGAGGGCTTGAGGGAGTGATACAAGGCTTTTTATGGGATGTTACAGATATCTTGACTACATCACAAATAACAACAACAACAAGATTACATTTGTCTAGCGCCTTTCACGTCGGAAAGACATCCCAAGGCGCTGGACAGTGTACAGCGTTTCAGACCCGAGCTGGATACAGGATTTTAAATTGCTTTTGTTTCTGTTTGTTAAATACAGGAGAAATTTGAAGCGCTTTTTTTGGCATATGACGACCATGCCACATTCCAGCTGTTCAAAAGTTTCAGACGTGTGAGAATCAACTTCAGCAATCCCAAGGTAGCGGCCCGTGCCAGGATAGAGCTCCACGAAACAAAGTTCAATGGGAAAAAGCTAAAGCTCTACTTTGCACAGGTAATGAGTTTGCAGCGTTGTTCACAGATCATTGCAGGGCTTAATGCATAAAGTAATGAGTGTTTAACAGAGGTTTCTTCACAAGGAAATAGCAGAAGTGTTTTAAAGATTGTGCAATTCACTCTTAATGAGCCAGTATCGCATTCAAATCAGACTTTGAATTTTAAGCGTGAAGGTTTACTTTTCAAATTATAGTAATTCTATTTCTCACTCATTTAAGCTTTAATAGAGCCTCCCCAAATGATAATGTAATGAAATTGAACTCAAGGATTTGGTGATGTATGTTTGAAAATGCTATCATTTATCCCTATGGTCAATCCATGGCAGGATCTAAGTACCACGAAGGAGGCAACGTCCTTCATGAAAAAAAATTGACAAAGCTTTTTACAATGATGCAATGATGAAAACCATCAAAAAGTAATGGGATGATTCAACAAATGTTGCTAAATTTACACATTTCCATTATAATTCCCATTATTATTCTCATGGAGGGATTTCTTATTGTAAACTCACATTTATATAGCACAATATAGTTTTCCACTGTGGTTGAACATGTGGTGTTACATATTGTAATTTTACTGATCAAAATCAGTTACAGTATTTTATCATCACCACTGCATTGACTTGATATAAAAAATATTCACATCTCTTCTGGTGTGCAAAATCCTGGGAGGTTTGGACAGGGTAAATAGGGAGAAACTATTCCCACTGGTAGGGGAAGCAGTGACTATAGTTATATAATAATCAAAAGAGCAAAAAGAGAGTTTAGATTTGTTTTCACCAGAGAGTTATTGGGTTGTGGAATGCCCTGCCAAGTAAGGTGATAGAGGCAGAATCCATTGTGGATTTCAAGAGGGAAGGAAGGGTACATGAATGATAGAGGCTTGAGGAGTATGGCGATAAGACAGGGGTTGAATGAATACCGAGCTGGTGTAACCTAAAGGGCCTCTTTAGATTTGTATACTCCATCATCAGCAGCCGTGCCTTCAGCCTTCTGTGCTTCACCTCAGCCACTACGCCCCGAAACTATGTAACTCCCTTGCTCAATCCCTTCGCTGTGCCCCCTCTTTCTCCATTTTCAGGTTGCGCCTGAAGACCTTCCTCTTTGACTGTGTCTGTGGACACCTTCCATCTCCCCCCGGCTTGGCATCGGGCTCCACCATTGTTAAGCACTGGAGAGCGCTAAATAAATGCAAGTTGTTGTTGCAGATTTATATGCTTCTATGGCTCTTCTCTCTTCCCCTGCCTTGAAGAAGTTTGCTTTACATGTTTCCGCACTTCTTTAAACATCCCAAATTACATAACTTTTGTGCTTTCGGTCTTATCTCTATCAATTCTTCAATCTAACTGTGAAAAGGCAATGAGCTGTAACTTAATTTTCAAAAAATCAATCAGGATCTGACGGATTCCAATGCCACAAGTCCAATCAATGGTGGTGGGGGCTGGCTTTGGTGGGGATGGGATGGGTTCACCTCATGGATAGGCATCATCTATGGGCTGGGCTCAGTGTTCACTTATCAATAATGTGATAATTATCACGTGATAATGAACCATGCCACAGGTCACAACTTTCAGCCATGATCTCCTGTTGATAGTTCTATCCTACTTGCAGGCCTACTTTATTTTTCTGTGCTAATATCTTTTTGAAGATAAGCACTCTGGGAGGTTGAAGAGTAAAATAGCAACAGTAACAGTGAGGGCATTCTTGGAGGATGTCTAGCATACTCTTGTTCCCTTTCACAGAAGGACACTGTTGCACAGAGGCACATTGTCACATAATCACCATTTATTTCACTGTTAGCATCAACATAGTGGTATGGATATTGTTCAACAAGAGGATTTATCTCAACAAGCTGTCATGATGAACCACCATTGATGATAATAGCAATGATATCATCCAAGCTGCCAAGGCAGAATGATGATACTTTCATCATTCTGTTCAACCCATCCAACAGCCTTATTCCCTGGAGGTTTGCAGTCATTGCCAAGAGTAAAGCCACACTGCTATTATTTTAAACATTTTCAGATGCTTAATTTATTTAACTCTTAATTTATTCAATATATTTTTGTGATGTTTGAGTTGGCATGTTGAGAGTAGAAAGAAAGTTTGCCGAACTAGCATTTCAAGCACTTGGAGCAACTCACTATAGGCAGGGAAACAGCAGAGAAGCTTTTGTTCAAGTGTAAAATGTCCAATAGATCTGAACATTTCAATGTGAAGGCTATTGTAGTGGAGACTATTAATGGATGAGACTACTCTGTTTGAATATTAGCTGTCCCACCAGATGTCATTTTCTACCATCATAAAAGTCCACCGAATGGCAGCTTTAAATTAAAAGTTGATCTCAGCCCTAAATAGAACTTAACTTGTGCAATTGAGTTGTAAATACAAATTAATTGAGTAGTGAACTGTGGGGGTGCTTTCTAGTTTTTGTTCATTGCCTAAACATAATTAAAAATATATATATTATAATGCATCAGTGGTTGTCCTATAGACATAATATTGCTCTTTCTTTGACTCTATAAGGAAGATCTTAGTGCTAACATGGGAGCAGTGATGTATCTCGTAAAGCTTGTGAGATAATCCCATGAGTTGGGGTTTCTTGAAGCATTAGAAATGAATGCTCTGGTGCTGCTGTTGATCGACGTGTCCTGGGTTATGGTTAAATCGGTGCCAATTTATTTATTAGGTCCAGAACCCAGGCGGAGATAACCTACACCTTGCCCCTCCTCAACCAGCAAAGCAGTTTCTCATCTCCCCTCCAGCGTCACCGCCTGTGGGCTGGCAGCAGATTGACGATGCCACACCAATCATCAACTATGATCTCCTGTATGCAGTGGCTAAGCTTGGGCCTGGTAAGTGTTTCATGTTATTTCATGTCTAATATGTACTCGCAAAGTACATGTGTGTAATCCAATTTAGTCAAGTTTTGACCAAATCCGTACAGCTCCAAACTACTCCCAAGGCAACAAACGCCCTAACCTGCCGGTTTCCCAGGATCGTTTTATACATTGCTAACAGGTTTCCAATTGGTTCTTTTGTTTCCTTCAATTAAGTTTTGTTTATCTTTAAAGGGATTTCTCCATAATGTCCACAACAATAATTAAACACCCTTAGGGTAAAAGTTGTGGTATTCCTGAACACATTCCGTTCCTTAAGGAGCAGAGTTAAAATAGTTTTTTTAGCAAAGAACTTGGAGTTTATCAGTAGCTGCCACATAGAAATACAATCTGTTCTTATTTCGTCATCCCCGCCCTGACTTTTGAATAATAGTCGCACCCAATCCCAGCTGAAAATGCTTGGAACTACCCTCTCATAGAGTGGGGTGACTGTTTTTTGACCTTGCAAGTAGGCTTAAGGTACTATTTCACAGGATGTTGATGCATTCATGTCATTACGCTATAAAGCAGCTTCCAAAGGCCGCAATCAGGACCTATAGTTTGACGCCAGTCACAAAAGAACTACAACTGTCAAACCATTACCTAATTTGTGGCTCATGGCTGTTATATTTGTAATCCATGGCTGCATCTGCTCAATTCACTGCCCAGTTTTATGCCCAGCCTCACGGAATACCATATTCTTTACTGCAAGCTGACTATTAGCAGTCAAACCGTAACAATACTTGTCCTAAAGTTTGGAAAATATCAAAGTTCTTCTTAGTGTGATGTGGAAACCTCTGCTTAGGTTTTTGGAGGTAGACATGTCCTTGTTAAGCCTAATAATGAGTCGATGAATAGTAAAAATACAGGGATGGATAAATATTTGGAGCTTTTACTTGAACTTTTTAAGTTCTGTCAGCATTTACACGAACCTCTCCAAAATACTTTACTGCAGGCGGATGTGCTCTTAAACAACTTCATGATCAATCTCCACAAAAATTAGTGAACTAAGTAAATATAAATGTTCAGATCTAATGGACATTTTACATTTGGGCCAAATCTGCTCCCAGCTTCCCTGCCTAACATCAGTTGCTCATTCCTTCAATTGATGTATCAGGACGGCAACCTCACTTTCTACTCTAAACATGTCAACCAACTGCCACAAAAATACCATTGAATACATTTTTGAAAGGTTTGAGAAATTTAAATATTTTAAAATCATAGTATGGTTCTATGAGGCTGTGGAAGGAGTGGGCTTGATGGGCTCTTTATTTCTTGTTCCAGGCTTTCTCATGTTCTTAACCACAGTCAATAGTGGGCAATCAATCAATAGTTGCTTAAGATATCACGCCCAACCAATTGGTTAAGGCCGTTAATGGTCACTCATATGCTTGTCCATTGTAGAATCCCATTGAATTGTTGAGTCACACAATAAATGTTACAACAGGTTAATTCTTTACAATTTTCAGCATATGTTCAGTGATTTTGCAGACAGTAATTACAGCTTTCAGCTCTCATCTGCCTTTAATTATTATTGCCAGTATCCTTTGTTGGAACAGAAAAGTAAAGTGTAGCTCAAAATATTCTACGAGTGTGACATTTACTGCATGAAATGTCAAATCAACTGAATAAACCAATCTGGTAGAGCCAGAAAGGACAAAGCCTGTAGCTCATTCATCCTGCCCAGTGGTATATTTTCTCTGTTGTCTGTAAAATTACCATTCATGGCATCCAAAAGTTTATAAATTATGGAATTTGCAGGTTGATAAATCCCACATGTTGATGCCAAATCTGCACCCTTTGCAAACCAATTGCATATCATGCAGCACTCCTCTTTACAAAACACAAAGAAAATTCAAAAGTTCAGGTTCAAGGAAAAATATACTGAACAGCGCTTTAAAAGTAACATAATGTCACACTATGATAACTTTGTATGTTTTTGAAGATGCTGACAAGTGCTGTTTGATGCCTGGTCATTGGCATTCTCTGAAGTGGAGAAAAAGCTGTCAAGGATATGGCTGAAATCTTTGCCTCTGTATCTATACAGCACAGACTAAAGTCACTTTCCATTTTTAATAATAATACTAATCCTTCCATTTGATATCCTTATCACATCGGTGAGACCTCGCAAAGTGCTTCACAGGATACACTGTAAAGTGTAGTGACTGTATTTTGTGGGCAAAACGTGGTAGCCAATTGTACACAGCAGTGTCCCACGCACAGTTGTGGTTGAGTGGCAAATTTATTATTATTATATTTTTTGGAGGGATTATTAGCCCTGGAAAGTGTTCAGCCAATCGACTCACAAGCGGGTTCCTATTTACTGCTAGGTAAACAGGCGTGTGGAGTAAGGAAACTTGCCCAAGGTTTTTGCCTTGTGTGGGAATCGAACCCAGGTTCTCTCACATGTCACATTTAAAGTTAAAATTAATTTTAAAATGGTCATTTTTTTTAACCCCATTTATTGTGTGTGTATATATAATATATAATAACAGGGTGTAATTTTTTACCGTATTAGTTGCTCTTTCATAGCCATTAAACCAGTGTGAATGTAATCTGTTCTTTGACTAAGTAGACTTGATTTTGACACTGGCATCCAAATCAGAACCACAATCCCAACACAGTTTGATAAATTCCTTTTCATTGGTCTGAATCTACTGTTTTTAAAGGAACTGCATCATGCTCCATAAAACTCACATTAATTTTAAATGTAGTGAATTTTTTTGAACCTGTAGAATAATAACAGTAAATTCCTTGGCGACCTCTGTTTCAAATGACCTAAAACGAGACGAGTGCTATTTCTGTTTTGAAATATATTATTTTGCAAAATTAAAATTAAGCAACATCTGGCAAACCCAGTTTGAAACTCTTCTCTCACAGCTGTGGTCCCCTTCCTCCACTTGCTTTTAAAAATGCATGGCGAATGTAGGATCTTCAACGTCATTTTCCCAAGTTGGGGGTGGGGAGGAAAGGGGCTTTCACTCTAAAACCAATTGTTAATGACAGATTTTAAGGACTTTATTTTAAACCCATTAATTGTGTGTGTATGTATGCGTGTGTGTGTATATATATATATATTAATCGGGTGCATTTTTCACCCTATTAGTTACTCTTTCATAGCATTAAACCAGTGTGAATGTAATACAGTACCAAAGATTCTAAATAATCTATGTCTCTATATGGTCTCCTTTTACATGTATGAGAGAGAGGACCCTGAGCTGTATTGGCAGCAAGATTTGATTAACACTGAGCTATAATGGCAAAGGTGGTGTCACTGAACTCCATTGCCACTGATTGCCTTCATTGCCTTCTCTAACACTAAGTAGTACTGCGGCTTCTGCTTGCCTCTTTCTAGTGGATGAGAAGTCGTGCTCTGCTGCCCGAACTACTGAACCAGTATTTAAATCCAAGTTTTTAATTAAAGGGTCGTCTTGGGTAATGCATTGGCACTGGCTGCATTAAACTCCGAATGAGCCGAGTGGAGTTTTTGCTGTGTTTGTTTACTGGAAAATGAATCACTGCTCTGGGATGCTTAAGCATAGATGTCACTCATTAAGCTGTTTAAAGATTGTTATTCGCACCAAGGTCATGTTTGCCATCAACTGGAAAGTGCCTCAGGGACCATTAATAAATACCATTAGCAGCCAGGTTTCTATTTTAGGAGCCTCACAAGCCTGTTGGTGCAGATCAATCTTTATTAAATAATAAAAGGAACCATTTAGGTTATTGAAGGTAATTTCTACATACAGTGAAGCGCCGTTGAATGATATGAAAACGGTAAGAATGTTTGCCCAGTGGTTGATAATCAGACTTTTTTGGCCTTCTGAGGCTCCTGTTCCCTCATAGCTGAAACTCTGCCAAAAATGCATTAATTTGCCAAATTTTCTGCTGTAACAGCGCACTGTACCCATCATGTACAATTTATGGAAAGATCCCACAGAGGAATTTGCCCTTGCAATGTTCATAACATTGTTACAAGAAAATGGCAGTGATCCGCATTAGGGTTTCTCACAATATTAAGGTCATAGTCTTAGGAAGTTAAGGTTGTGCAGAATTTATGAAAACCACCTTAAATACAATCTTAATTTGGAAGCAATTAAAGTTCACAGTTTTTTGTCGATGCTGTAGAAAGCTGGGTTTCAATTTAAAATCTTCTAAAATCCCACACTGGTCTTGAATTTTTAGGCAATGACCTTATGATTAACAGCATGAAGTATTTGGGACCACTGAGACCCATAATTACTTCTAATCTAAGACTGTGTAAGATCATTTTGTTTTAAAATTCAAGATGATGCATAAGTGTCCAAAAATTCTTAATTTGAAGGCCAGTTTCTGTACTTAAAACAAACCAGTTGCCAAACTAAGATGAATTTAAGAATTTTCCAATACTCTGTGCAATGTTACATTTTAAGACAAAATAGCTAATATTGGTGGAATTGTGATGCTGATCTCTAAACAACTCATTTTTCTAATAATAAATCATAATGATCCTTGCACTTGGTATGGCGTTTTTCATGTTGGGAGAAAATGCCAAGCGCTTCACAGGATTTACTGTGAAGTGGTATGACTGCGTATTGTAGGCAAATACAGCAGCCAAATTGCGCACAGCAATGTCCTACACAAAGCCATAAAGTGAATGACCAATTTTATTTGGTGGATTGACGGCCAGGATATTGGGAGAAACTTCTTTCAGTTTTCAAGTAATGCCCTGGAATCTTTAACCTTCATCTGAGCTGGCAGACAGGAACTCAGTTTAACGTCTCATCTGAAGGAAGGATAATGAGATAAAGAGAATACTGTACATATTTTTGCAGCTCACCCTATCCAAGTTCCAAGGGAGCCGATTCAACCTAACTTGTTTAGTTTTTGGTTACATACCTCCTTTGTGGCTTCACCCATGCTCATGCCTTTAAATCATAGTCATAAATTACCTGTTTGGCTTGGTCCAAGCTGTCATTCACCTAGATGTTGGGCTG